TTGGCTATTGTGAATAGTGCCGCAATAAACATGGGTGTGTAGGTGCCTCTGGAGTAACCTGTGTCACAGTCTTTTGGGTATATCCCCAAGAGTGGTATTGCTGGATCAATGGTAGATCAATGTTTAGCTTTTTAAGTAGCCTCCAAATTTTTTTCCAGAGTGGTTGGACTAGTTTACATTCCCACCAACAATGTAAGAGGGTTCCTTTCCCCCCCCTTCCTCGCCAACACCTGTTGTTCATGTTGTTGCTAATGATGGCTATTTTAACAGGGGTGAGGTGGAGTCTTAGTGTGGTTTTAATTTGCATTTCCTTTATTGCTAGAGATGGTGAGCATTTTTTCATTTTTTGGCCATTTGAATTTCTTCTTTTGAGAAAGTTCTGTTTAGTTCACTTGCCCATTTCTTTATTGGTTCATTAGTTTTGGGAGAATTTAGTTTTTTAAGTTCCCTGTATATTTTGGTTATCAGTCCTTTGTCTGATGTGTAGCTGGCAAATATTTTCTCCCACTCTGTGGGTGTTCTCTTCAGTTTAGAAACCATTTCTTTTGATGAACAGAAGCTTTTTAGTTTTATGAGGTCCCATTTATCTATGCTATCTCTTAGTTGCTGTGCTGCTGGGGTTTCATTGAGAAAGTTCTTACCTATACCTACTAACTCCAGAGTAGTTCCTACTCTTTCCTGTATCAACTTTAGAGTTTGTGGTCTGATATTAAGATCCTTGATCCATTTTGAGTTAACACTAGTATAGGGTGATCTACATGGATCTAGTTTCAGTTTTTTGCAGACTGCTAACCAGTTTTCTCAGCAGTTTTTGTTGAAGAGGCTGCTATTTCTCCATCGTATATTTTTAGCTCCTTTGTCAAAGACAAGTTGGTTATAGTTGTGTGGCTTCATTTCTGGGTCCTCTATTCTGTTCCACAGGTCTTCATGTCTGTTTTTGTGCCAGTTACCATGCTGCTTTTATCATTATTGCTTTGTAATATAGTTTGAAGTCAGGTATCGTGATACCTCCAGCATTGTTCTTTTGACTGAGTATTGCCTTGGCTATTCGTGGCCTCTTGTGTTTCCATATAAATTTCACAGTAGATTTTTCAATCTTTAATGAATGTCATTGGAATTTTGATGGGAATTGCATTAAACATGTAGATTACTTTAGGGAGTATTGACATTTTTACTATGTTGATTCTAACAATCCATGAACATGGGAGATCTCTCCACTTTCTATAGTCTTCCTCAATCTCTTTCCTCAGAAGTGTGTAGTTTTCCTTGTAGAGGTCATTCACATCTTTTGTTAGGTTTGCACCTAGGTATTTGATTTTTTTTGAGGCTATTGTAAATGGAATTGTTTTCATACATTCTTTCTCAGTTTGTTCATTATTAGTGTATAGAAGTGCTGATGATTTTTCTATGTTGATTTTATATCCTGCTACCTTGCTATAGCTATTGATGATGTCTAGAAGCTTCTGAGTAGAGTTTTTTTGGTCTTTAAGGTATAGGATCATGTCGTCTGCAAAAGGGATATTTTGACAGTTTCTTTACCTATTTGTATTTCTTTCATTCCTTCTTCTTACCTAATTGCTCTGGCTAGGAATTCCAGTACTATGTTGAATAAGAGTGGAGATAGTGGGCATCCTTGTCTGGTTCCTGGTTTTAGAGGGAATGGTTTCAGTTTTTCTCTGTTAAATATAATGCTGGCTGTAGGTTTGTCATATATAGCTTTTATAATGTTGAGGTGCTTTCCTTCTATTCCTAGTTTTCTTAGAGCTTTTATCATGAAATGATGTTGGATCTTATCAAAGGCTTTTTCTGCATCTATTGAGATGATCAAGTGGTTTTTGTCTTTGCTTCTGTTAACGTGGTTTATTACGTTTATTGATTTTCATATGTTGAACCACCCCTGCATCCCTGGGATGAAGCCTACTTGGTCATGGTGAATAATCTTTTTGATGTGTTGTTGAATTCAGTTTGCCATTATTTTGTTGAGGATTTTTGCATCAGTGTTCATTAAGGAGATTGGCCTATAGTTCTCCTTTTTGGAGGATTCTTTGCCTGGTTTTGGGATAAGTGTAATACTGGCTTCATAAAAGGTGTTTGGCAGTTTTCCTTCCCTTTCTATTTCATGGAACAGTTTAAGGAGGGTTGGTATCAGTTCTTCTTTAAAGGTCTGATAGAATTCAGCAGAGAATCCATCAGGTCCTGGACTTTTCTTTTTGGGGAGACTCTTGATTGCTACTTCAATGAAGACTAGTTTAAATATAGAATAAGGCATTCTTCTCTGACCTCCACTCCAGGGTTCCTCTCTCACTCTCTAGCAGCCCAGGTTGACTCAGGTTTCCTTTCCCTGTTCTTTTAGCTTAAAAAATAATGTTGTTTTTATTCTTGTTTTCCTCTGAGTTTTAACCACTCAGCCTTTTACTACACTGACTGTAATCTCCCTGAGAGAAGAGCCACAAACTTGGTTGCTTGCCCTTGGTTTCCACACTTCTCTAAAATTACCTGTTTTCACCCACACACAGGAAATCAATGTGAGTCAACTCCCTGTATAGCTATCCTTATCTCAACCAGCAAAAACCCTTGTTCCTTCCTATTATTGCTTATACTTTCTCTACAACAAAATTAGAAATAAGGGCAAAATAGTTTCTGCTGGGTATTGAGGGGGTGGGGGGAGAGGGAGGGGGCGGAGTGGGTGGTAAGGGAGGGGTGGGGGCAGGGGGGAAAAATGAACCAAGCCTTGTATGCACATATGAATAATAAAAGAAAAAAGAAAAAAGAAAAAAAAATTACCTGTTTTCCATCTCCTAAGCCCCCGGTGGGTGTTTTGCTTTGGGTATTTTTGCCCATAGTTATTTGGGAGGCATCTGTAGTTACATACTCCTTCATACCATAAATAGAAAACCTGCTCTTTCTTTTTGAAATCTTACCTGTTTATTTCCACCATATTTTAAGGTCTCTTCTGACTTCTGTACCCAGAGGCATAGTGTACCCAAAAGCTCAGAGGAGTCAGACAAACCGAAATAATCTCAGCACTTCCACTTGCTCATTTATGGCTTTTGACAGTCCCTTTACTTTGACTTTAGTTTCCCTATCTATAAATTATTTTATATTCCCATCTATAAATTGGAGATTTTAAGAGTTCTTTGAGGAAGGGATAATTTAGTTCTAAGTAAAATTATTATATATGAATCACTTAGTACTTAGCATATAATATATCCTCAATAAATAAATAACTCCTCTTAATCCTTTAAGGGCCCTCTTCTCCATGATCTTAAAATGGCATTTGGTCTTAATCTGCACATTGTCTACCAGAATCTCATTGACTTTTTGGCTTCCCCCTCCCATCTTAAAAGCCACTGACTTTCAAATCTAATCAAAATGTCTCAGATAATACACATTTAAACATGCCTATCTGATAGCCTATGTGGACTTCCCATACTTCAAATTCATGCCTCCCACTGAATTCCTCACATTTTTCTCTCTCCATCCCCCAATCACCCCAGCTGCTTCTGTAGTTACACATTCAAGTAACAATATCACTGAATCATTAAAGAAAAAACATACACCCTTAAATCTTTTCATTCCATATGTCCCAGATCCAGTTACCAGGTCCTGCTGTCCCCTTATCTCTATTCCTATTCCCTCTAATTTGGTTCAGATGCTCACTTTGCATCTATACTACTACTGTAGCCTCATAATTATTCTCCTGTCTTTAGTCTAATTCATCCAGGGTATGATTTTTTCTAAATCTTTACCACATTATTTTCATTGTTTATAACACATATATGTAAATGAAAAAATGATACGTGTTGATACTGTTCAAAGAATGGAGAACAGTGGAGGGGGTGAGTTCAAGTATGATATAGTGTAAGAACTTTTATAAATGCCACAGTGTACCCCCACCCAGCACAACAACAAAAAAATCATTGGCTCCTGGTCCCTTCCTGATAACTCTCTAAGTTCATAGCAGCCTACACAGAGTACCTCTCTTGTAGGCAGCACTTGTAGTCTCTGTGTACTTAGTGCTTTACAATTTCCCAGATCACTCCCTCCCCCCGACTCCCTGCTCCTATGCCTTTAACAAATGTGACCTATTGAATAAAGATCCTATTTATCCTTTTCTCCTTGATTTCGGTAATTTTGAGCTTTGGTCATTCAACTTCATTATCACTGAAGCACGTAAAGTATACTAAATTTTTTTTTATTTTCAATGTTTGCTAAGTTCCAGTCAATATTTCCAGTTGAAACCCTTTTAGTTAGAGTATTACATAAAGTAACCACTGCTTATGTCTCACTGTAGACACAATCATAATGTAGACATTTTAGGCTAGGTAATTATTTGTTGTGGAGACTGTTCTGTAGGATATTTAGCAGCATCTCTGTCTGTTACCATATTCTACTGGCATACTTCTCCCTCCTTTCTAGTTATGATAACCAAAAATGTATCAGAACATTGCCAAATATTCCCTGGGATGCAAAACTCTCCATAGTTCAGAGTCATAGCTATAAAACTCAACCAACGCATAATTCATTAAATGCCTAGCTGTTCCACCCTGTGAGAATCACCAGTATACTTATTATATTCACTCTGGCTAAAAGCATATGATGATGTTCCAATTTTTAAAGAATTACTTTTATTCTTGCTTCACTCTTTTGAGAAAAAAAATGGTGTTTATTTGCTTTTCACTTCATAAGTAGAACTATTTCTCTCATTTCACATGTCTTCCTTTCTCTGTGGGCTCATTTAGCCACTAAGCCTTTGGAAAAAATGAGAGCAGTAGGGGACTTGACACTTTTCATTTCCATGTTCCATATTTTAGGCTTTAAAGTCATTACTGACAGTGGTTAGGGAGAGAAGCAAATTTCTGTTGAGTTAAACTGTGTACAGTCTGCATTTGATAAGAGTATGAAAACTGTTAGTCAAAATGTTTCCCACATAATTTTCTCAGGTTTCCTTATGTCATTTCCTCTGATTTTGCCTCTCTTTCCTTTTTTCTCCTTGTCAGACAATTTATGCTCTTATGGGGAATGCAGTGCAGCCCTTACTGACTTCGGTGGGAGATGCGATAGAGGCCATAATCATCACCATGCATCAAGAAGATTTTTCTGGGTAAAACATTTAACCAGAAATTTGACTAGTCTTTATTGCCTTTTTCCTGTGTGTGTGTGTGTGTGTGTGTGTGTGTGTGTGTGTGAGAACTGGGGTTTGAATTAAGACCTCGAACTTGCTAAGTAAGTGCTCTACCACTTGAGCTATGCCCCAGCCCCTTTTGCTTTAGGTCATTTTTCAGATAGGTTTTTCTGCTTATTTCCAAGACTGACCTCAGACCACAATCCTACCTCTGTCTCCTGTGTAGCTGGGATTATAGATATGAACCACCATACCCAGCTGCTACTTTCATGTAGAAATGTGTTTTTATTTCCTCCTCTACTCCTCCCCAAGTTCCCAGCCAACTAGGCCTTCTTCCTCTTCTGGCATCATTGTCTCCTAGCCTCCTTTATCCATTGTGAATGCTTTTAACAGATTTAAAATGTTCTATTCTTGTTTTCATCATTTCTGTCTTCATATTGAAACAGAATGGGTTTATGGGTCTCAGCTTGGTACTGGAGATTTAGATAACCATCTTCTCTCTCTAGTTTTCTTTTCTTTTCTCTCTACTTTAACCTTTGTTACCCGCTGACATAGGCATAGCCTTCCTGTTTAAAACTCCCTATCTCTGCCACTGTGCTTATCTGAATCCTGCTCTGGCATTCTCTGGCCCATCCCCTCCAAGGCTGATTTTCCTTCCGCAGAGTTTCTAATCACATTTAATGTAAAGTGAGTCATGTCTGATTATAGTTTTGAGTAGAGAAAGGAGACAGTGAAAGGAGGACCCTGAATCCTTGCAGTGGTAGCTGAACCCCTCTGAGGAAAGACAACACACAGAGATTGGTGACATGAAGATGCACAGCCACCATTTCTCAACGATGCATAGACTTAGTCCTCCACCTTCAGCTTCTGCATGACACTGTCATTGTAAAGTCCCTTGAGTTTCTACACAAACTCATGTCTGTACTTTGCCAGTTGAGAACCTTCTGTTTAAGTCTTTAGAGTAAGAGGGGAAACTTAACTTTAACATTAACCAAGTAAGTTTGTATTCTACTAAATTTAAATCAGGTTTCTTCTAATCACAATGAGAATTGATAATACATACTTCAGTATTTTATCTAAAATACCATTTTTTTACTTTTGTTGACACAGGCTGATAGAATTTGTTTTAGTATGTTATTTTCTACTGCTGAAGGAAATCATTGCAACTTACTAGATCAAAGCTCTTGAGACAGTCCTTCAGAGCAGTACAAAAATTATACTATGCTTTTGAAAAGGTGTGAAAAACCAACTGTGTGCTACCTTACCTTTAAGAAAAACATAAACTGAAAGCAAAGGGATGGAAAAGTTATCTCATGCAAATGGAAATCCAAAGAAAGTGGGGATAACTATATATTTATATCAGACAAAATAGACTAAGTCAAAAATTGTAAAACATAATAAAGAAGGTCATTATCTAATGCTAAAGGGGTTAGTTCAGCAAATGAGTACTATAATTTTAAATACATGTATACATGTCAGAGTACATAAATACATAAAACAAATATTAAAAGGATCTGAGAGAAAGATAGATTACAGTACAATAATAGTCCTTTAACAGCCCACTTTCAATGATGAGAAGACCATTCAGACAGAAAATTAACAAGGAAACCTTGGGACTTGGACTATGCTTTAGATCAAATGACTCTAATAAGCATTAGAGAACATTCTTTCCAACACCAACAGAATACAAGTTTTTCATAAGCACACACAGAGTGGTCTCCCCAAATAGACCCTGTGTTAGACCACAAAGTCTGAATGAAATCAGACTTTAAAATCATATCTTAAAATCATATCTTTTGTGATCACAATGGTGTGACACTAAAATCAGTTACAGGAGAAAATCTTAGGCTATTCACAAATATGTAGAAGTTAAACAACTTGCCTTTGAACAACCAGTGGATCAAACAGGAAATCAAAAGGAAAATTTTTAAAAACCTTAAGACCAATGTAAATGGAAGTGTAACATACCAGAACTTACAGATGTTGCAAAGAGGGATGTTTATAGCAACAAATGCCTCTATCAAAAGAAAAAAAGAGATCTCAAATAAGTAACCTTATGTTGCACCTCGTTGAACTAGGAAAAAAGAATAAATTAAGCCTAAATTAGCAAAAGTACGGAAATAAGTATCCAAGCAAAATTAAATGGAGTAGAAGCTTTATTTTTAAAAAAAGAAAAAATCAACAGAGCCAAGAGGTGGTTTGTTAAAAAGATAAAAATATCACAAACCCTTAGCTAGACTAAGAAAAAAAAGAGTACTCAAGTAAGACCAGAAATGAAAGAAGAGACACTAAGTCTGTTATCACGGAAAAACAAAGGTTCCTAGGAAATTACTATGAACAATTAATTATATACTAACCAACTGGATAACCTAGCAGAAATCATACCTGTCTTAATGGCTCTTAACAAAACCTAAAAAGACAACTACATGAGAGGTGAGATTGGGAAGATAGAGATAGAAAAGTTTGTGAAGCTGGAGATGATAGTTCATACCTGTAATCCTAGCTACTTGGGATCAGAAGGATCACAGTTCAAGAGACCCACATCTCATTGGAGAAAGCTGGGTGTGGTAGCATGCACCTGTCATCACAGCTGCAGCGTAAAATAGGAGGGTCATGGTCCAGACTGGCTCTACAAAAAGTAAAACTCTATCTGCAAAATAACCAGAGCAAAAAGAGCTGGAGGCATAGCTCAAGTGGTAGAGCACCTGCCTAGCAAGCATGAAGCCATGAGTTCAACCCCCAATACCATCCCCCCAAAAATTAGTGAGACTCTGTCTCAAAAAAGATAGCTGAGCATAGTGGCACACCTCTGTTATCCCAGCTACTTGGGAGATGAAAGGAGGAGGATCAAGGTGAGGTCCTTTGCCAGCTCCAAGCAAAAGTACAAGATCCTACCTGAGAAATAAACTAAAGCAAATAGTGCTGGGATGTGACTCAAGTAATAGAGTGCTTGCCAAGCAAGCTTGAGGTCCTCAGTCCAAGCCCTAGTATTGCCCCCCAAAACAAACAAGTGAAAGATAGTGCAGGCATGATGTATAGAAAAGAGAATCTGTATACACTTTTGGTGGGAATGTAAATTATTACAGCTGTGATGGAAAATAGGGCAGAGGTTCCTAAACACATATCCTACCAATACTGAATCAAAAAGAAATAGAAAATCTAAGCATAACAAGAATTCGCAGTGAAGTTGAATCAGTAATAAGTCTTCCATCAAGAAAAAACTTAGGAACAAAGGTTGTCATGGGTGAATTTACCAAATATTTAAAAAGGAGCTAATGCCAATTTTTCTCAGATACTTCCAAAAAAACCAAAGAGGGAATACTTCCTGTTTTTATGAGTCTAGCATTACCTTGAAACCAAAGCTAGACAAGGACTTTAAAAGAAAATTATAGGTCAGTATCGCTAATGAACACAGGTGCAAAATTCTTAACAAAATTCAACAGGATTCTAAAAGGATCATTCATCATGATCAAATGAGATTTATGAGTTAGCATATGCAAATCAATTATTCTGACTTATTACATTAATAAAATGAAGAACAAAAGTGATATGATCTCATTAAGTGCAAAAAAAGCACTTGACAAATTTCAGCACTCTTTCATGATAAAAAGAACTCTCAATAAATTAGCAATAAAAGGAATGTACCTCAGTACAGTAAAGGCCATTTATGACAAACTCACAGCTAATCTCATACTCAGTGATGAAAACCTGAAAGATTTTTCCTTAAGATCAGGAGCAAGACAGACTTACACATTCTCACCATTTCTTTCCAGTTTAGTACAGGAGTTCCTTTCCAGAGCATTCAGGCAAGAGAAAGAAATAGAAGGCATCCAAACAGGAAAAGAGGTAGTAAAATTGTCACTGCTGACGATGTGCTCTTAAATATAGAAAACCCCAAAGACCCCATCAAAAAATTTAGATATAATAAACAAAGTCACAGAATAGATAGTTATCATGCAAAACCAGTAGTATTTCTGTAAACTAGCAAGTAACTATCCAAACAATAAATCAAGAAAACATTCCCATTAACAATAGTTACAAAAAAAATATTTAGGAATAAATTTAACCAAGGAGTTGAAAGAGCTGTACACTGAAAACTATAGAGCATGAATGAAAGAAATTGAAGAAGACATAAATAATCAGAAAGATATTTTGTGTTCATAAATTGGAAGAATTAATATTGTTAAAATGGCCATACTACTCAAAGTTATCTACAGATTCAGTATAATCCCTATCAGATTTCCAATACCATTTTTTATAGAAATAGAAAAAGACAAATCCCCAAATTCATATGAAATCATAAAAAGCCCTGAATAGCCATGGTAGTAGTCAATAAAATGAACAAGCCTGGAGGCATTATACTTCCTGATTTCAAACTATACTCCAAAGTTATAGTAAGTGAGTCAGCATAGTATAACATAAAAACAGATACATTGACCAATGGAACATAAGAGAGAGCTCAGAAATGAACCCATATATTTAGGGTCAGTGAATTTTCAACAAAGATTCAAAGAATACAGAGTTGGAAAATAATAAGTCTCTTCAATTAAGAGTGTTGGGAACACTGCGTGCATGAAGTTGGACCTTCATCTCATACCACATGCAATTCAAAATAGATTTAAAAGACTGAAATGTTAAGACCTGGGACTATAAAAATATTAGAAGAAAGATGGACTGCATAACATTGGTTTGGGCAATGGTTCTTTTTTTGGATTTGGCCTAAAAAGCCCAGGCAACAAAAGCAAAAAGCTTGTCCATGTCAAAGGAGACAATTAACAAAGTGAAGATACACCTTACAGATTAGGAGAAAATATTTGAAAGCGTTACACTTAATAAGGAATTAATGTGCAAAAATTTACAAAGAACTATGAAAACTCAATAACCCAGTTTTAGAACAGAAGACCTGAGTAGATATTTCTTAAGAAGAAAACATACAAATGGCCAGTAGATACACACAAAAAATTCTACATTACTAATCATTAAAAAAATGCAGATTAAAACCACAATGAAATATCATTTCACAACTGTCAGAATAACTGTTATTTAAAAATGAAAGATCCCAAATATTGGTGAGGATGTAAAAAATTTTAAAAAGGAACTCTTGCATACTGTTGAAAGAAATGTAAATTAGTACATTATGGACAACTGTATAGAGGTTCCTCAGAACACTAATAGACTTGCCATATGATCCCACTTCTGAGTTTATATCCTAACAACTTGAAATCAGAATGTCAGAGAGCTATACCTGCACTCCCATGTTCCCTACAGAATTGTTTACAGTAGCCATGTTAGGAAGTCAGTCTAGGTGCCCATCAACAGATGAATGGGTAAAGGAAATGTGGTGTATATACTATTCAGGCTTCAAAAAAGAAGGAATTTCTGTTAACTGCTATAGCATGGAAGAACCTAGAGGACATTATACTAAGTGGAACAAGCCAGGCACAGAAAAGCAAATACCTCATGTATATGAAGAATCTTAAAACAATAGAACTTATAAAATCAGACAGTAGAATGATGGTTACCAGGGTTTGGGAGTAATGGAGTGATGTTGGTTAAGTGGTACAAAGTTGCAGTTTGACAGGAGGAATAAGTAAGTATTTAAAGTGGTAGATATGTTATTTAATCATTCACACTGTATATGTATGTCATTGCTGTGCGTAATTATATACTATTGTGATTTGTCAAAAAATTAATCTGAAAAAAAGAATATGAAAGAGATTGGTACCCTTTTTTTTGCAAACTAGTTCTTTGTACTGGTGAAACCTGAATAAGTAGGCCATTCAGTGGTCTGAGTCTGGCAGATATAAACCCCACACCAAGTCTGCTATCACTTACCAAGGCTCCCCTCTGCTCAGGCAGCATTCCACCCTGTGAAAAAGAAATTCTCCACCATCTACCTTGCAATGACCTTGCCATTGTTAAGACAGTCTTTCTTATATCAGGACAAAATCCCTGCCTGCTGGGACAAAAGCCTAGTTTCTCTATTTCTGTTTGCCTCTGGAAATAGAGAAGTAGAGAGCCTCTAGTTAGCATCCTACTTATAATAACCATTTCTGTATTTGAGGTTCATCAAGTTCACCTCATCCTCTTGCTCTAGGAATTTTAGTCATATCTGTTATTCATCTGTAGACCATCATCAGTTTCTTTGCATCATTCTCAGAATATGGAAACACTTAACTTGCTTTTTGGAAAAGATACAGCATTATGTAGCCAATGATCTCATCTATTGGCCAATATCAGGTGATTTCTAATTTTGGTGTAGCTCTTCTTTCCTATAAATATTTCATATTCTTTTAATATATTCTTTAAAGAACAATTGTAAACATTTTTAAGTTATAAATGGTATATAAGGGAGCATCAGCTAGCATCATCTGCTGATCCAAATTAAAGCCTTTCCAAACCTCATCATCTGGAAGAAAAAATTGCATACCACATGTCCTGTTACATAACTAGTTCCACGGTCAGAATTCTGCTATTGGAGTGATCTGATTAAATCCCACAAGAGCAGAGATATTGTTGCCAAGAATTTGTTTGGAGAGGGCAGCATTTTCTGTCATTGCAAAATGTAAAATGCTATTTTAAGATCCATTATTGATGTATTCACTTACCAGGCAAAACATGGGAGTGGATCAAGAGTTGCTCGGGTGGGAGGAATCTTGAGAGGCCAGAGCATGAGGGTGGCCCTTGTGTGATTCATCTAAGACAGATGCCTGTCTTTTTCATTCTTAATAATCTTTTAGGTAAATATATTCTAAAATTCCTTCAGTAATTTTCCTAGCATGTAAATGCAGTCTTTAGAATATAATTTAAACACTGTTTTATTTTTTTTTTCACACTTAGAAAAAATAAATGGTGCCTTTATTCCATTAAGGGAAAAATTGTGCAGGACTGAAATAGAGGGAGTGGGGAGAATCAAAGAATGCAGTTAGTGCATTGGTGTTGAAAATGGCTGTTTCTTTTCTCTTTTGCAGGTCATTATCCAACTTAGGAAAGCCTGATGTTCCTTGTTCTCTGTACATGAAGGAGCTACAAGGTTTCATTGCTAGAGTTATGAATGACTACTTTAAACACTTTGAATGCTCAGATTTTGTCTTTGACAGCACTGAAGATATTGCACAAAGAGCAATTGAACTTTTTATTCGCAATGCCAGTCTCATAAGGCCTCTTGGTGAAAGCGGGAAAATGCGACTTGCTGCTGATTTTGCACAGGTAAATTAATACGTAGCTACAAAGGGAGCAGATATTCCAGCCTCAGTATTAAGTAAAAAGGCTATCTACTTATCAGTGTTTTTAAAGAATTTCAGCATAAAGAAAAGTAAACCCACTTAAAACTAGTTGGTTAAATAAGAAAAAAAGAGTTTAGAGATATTTTATACCAGATATTTTGTTCTTGGTATTTAACAAAATAATCATCCCTCATCTTTGGTCTTTCAAGATTATGTAAAGTAATTCACTCCACAGTAAAGCAACATTTCCCATTTTTGCACCATTTTAACATCCCAATAGGTCAATATTGTTAAGAGTAATTGATTACCTTTGCTGGAAAATGATATAGGCAATGAAATAATGTTTCAAACAGTAGAAATTGGGCTACTTTTTGTACAGAAAGAGAAAGAACTCGAACACATCTATAATCTAATGGCCATTTCAGCCTACCAGGATGTGTTCTAATTCATTGAGCTGTATCATGGGCCACGTAGATACAGTCTGATTATTTGGTCTCCCCCTATTAAGTATAGTACATTCTTGTCTATGACTAGCCTTGAAATCATTGCTAACTGATGTTTGTGAGATAGAATGAAGTTAAAATAGTAGAACCATAATCAGCTCTTATAGAAAGTTTTTTTTTTTCCTTTTGAAAGTTGTTTTTTTTTAAAGCCTCAGCAGTATCAGAAGCAAAGAAGAAACATCCTAAACATACAGTTTCATGAAAAGGTTCAGAAACAGAGATTGTTCTTGTTTATATAGCATGTCAAGGGTCAGACCATTTTTTAAACCTTTCAAAGCTACTAGCTTTACTCTAGTCTAGGTAGTTATTCAAATGGAGTCTTCATAGCAGTTTGGTAGATCCTCCCTGCTTATAAAGATAAATGTTAATGTCAGTATTTATTCCCATGTGTATCCAGGAGTGTGTCTTGGTCATTATTCCTGCTCTGGGAAAGGACCTGGGCCCACTGCTTACATGAGGGTTCCTATATAAGGACGAAAAGAAACTGGTAACACAGACCTAACATTTCAAGAGCCAGGCTCATTGCATATTAATTTATCCAGCAATTAGTCGTTTTCATTCCCAAATAATATGCCTGAGGCTACTGGACCTCAAAATCAAAAACAGAGCTTTCCTTTGGAAAATGTATTTTTTGTAGCCACACATGAAAACAAAAATTGATTAAATGTTCCTGTTAAACTGGCTCTTTCAACCTTGTCCTTTTATATCAACTTCATTCTTAGGCATTTTGCTTTGTTGTACAGGTAAAATTAGCTTAAAGGGAATTATATATAAATAGTGCCTTAACTTCTCTTCCTGGGTTATAGGCTGCTTACTGAAATGAAAACACAGCAGTATTCTAGGACCTGCTCTCATTTGATACAACTTCGTAAGCTGTTCTTAGATAAATCCCTATCCTCCTTTTCCCCTTTCCTGCTTAATTTGTTTATCTTCTTCTCTCCTCTTCACTCCCCTAGGCTCCCTCCCCCACTGGCTTATTTGCATTCTGCTCCAGCTGGTTCTTGAGTCACTTTCCTGGAGGCAGCACTTCCAGTCCAATTAGAGTGGCAGCCTAGCTAGAGATGGCCAAAATGAGAGTGCTGTTGGAGAGGCTTATTGTTGGGGGTTTTATTTCAATGCTATGTTCCCTTATGCGTCTTGAAAGATGGGAAGAAATTGTCCTTTTAACCCTTCTACTGCAGCTAGCAGCTGCTCAATTTACAAAGCCTTCAGTGACAGGGGTGAGCTTCAGCTTTCCAAAAGCTGCATTATTCAGAATTTTATTTGCATTTCTTTTTTCTTAAGATAGTTTACCCAAGAAACCAAAAAATTCCAGGGTCCCTTCCTTAAGATAAATGAAACTCATCAGTCTTTGTTACTAATTTATGCCTGAAGGCCTCTGTTTTCTATTTTTTAAATATAAAAAAAGGCAAATTTATACACACAGCATTTATGCAGTACTAAGAATGTATATTCCAGCCCCATCATGGCATTTTGTTTCTGTATACTGTGTAGTATGAAAAGGCAGATGCCTTGGTTCACTGCTGTACAGTGTGTCCCAGTTTCAGATCATTCCACCACACACTTTGGCCTGGCTCTGGTCCTGTGGGTCCTGGGAGAAATCATCATAGTCAGTCATATTTATGATCAGAGGTTTAACAAGTATTATCCAGGTATCATGTCATGATCCCCACCCCCATTTTTTAATTGAATTTTGAACTTTGGGTTTTTATTTCACTGTGTTTGGTTTCTTGCCACCACTGTGATTTCATGTTCTTTTACCTGAGCTTTTGGAATTGTGCCTGGTTGGAAGCATTTTCTGGGTTAGTCAAAACGCTTAAGTAGCATTACCCTGACATTTATATTCATGACAAGCTTCAACTAGGGACTAGAAAGCCTTTTAGCTGCCTCATAATTGAAAATTCTATCAATTTGTATTCAAAATTAAAGCCACTAAGGTCACTGAAATCAAGAATACACAAATACTCTGGGTTTAAAATGTATTCTTATGATAAAAGTGCCTGCTATTCTGGCATAAGTGACAGAGCTCAAGTAGATGGGTTTGGGAATATAGGTTATTTGGCATAAAGTCCAGTTGCAAAGACAAATAGAATTTAAAGAATCCTAACTGTTTCTCACTGGTACCAGTGCAGAGAGAGAGAAGTAGTTGCAGGGTGCCATCTGGAGGGCTCACGGTGAGGGAAGTATGTAACATGCAGGCCCCTTAACAATCAGGTCGTGGGCATGAGGTGGCTTCCTGCAGGTAATTAATTCCCTGCTGTGACCACATGGTCTTGGTGTCTACACTAATCACACAGCAGTTCTGAAAGCACTAAGCTTGTCCAAAGCCCCTGGGGTTCTGAATCTCTTTGCAGGCTTGCCCAGCAGTGCCCTCCATAGCACACATTCCACCTCCCCCTCTCTATTTCTTTTCTTCCCTGAGGGAAGTTGGCATTAAATTATTTAGTGGTACTCCTAGCAGTTTCTATTTATAAGTCTTTTTGGTGTCCTTTAAATATACATTTATATTTCTCCCACTTTGTCCAAAAATACAAATTTAGAAAACAGACTCAAAATTCTCATTTCTGTTCTAATTCTTCTGCCTTTTCTTCTCCTGAACAATGTCAGGGTCTTTGTGCCCTGTAGCTAGCCAAATGTTTATGGTGGGTAAGAAGCAGCTAGTAATTAGTTCACTGTGCATGCAGTTGACCGCTTGTTCCTCCAAACAGTAAGGGTGGCGAGAAATACTTGCACATGCTTTTTTGTGTCCACAGCTCCTTGCAGAGTCACCTCCTCTAAAATAAACACTCTTACTCTTCAAAACTTGGCCTTTATTGTTTAATCAAATTCTGGCAGAAAAAAATGATTTTCGGTTCCCTAGGTGTCCTTTAGGAATAAAACTTTCATTTTAAACATTTAGTATTTAGAAATTGTCCTATGGCATAGAACTCGTCTGCATCATCTGAGATTTCACAGCCATTTGAGGACATAATCTCTAATATATAACTTTTCCCTAGCCAGTTAATTGTTTTACCATTTAGCCCTCCATATGGGCTAGGCTAAAGATTGTCTAATTTGTTCTTTGATGACAACGAACCCACTAGAGTTCATTGAAAAAAATTGACCAAAACAAAAAATGCATCACATAATCTGTTTCAAAAAAACCTTTACACACATATGCACACGAGTTTAACTATATGAATGAAATTTTTGAGTCAAAGATACATTTTTACTTTGTACTCGGTGTAAAGTAAATGATGTATTCTGAACAAAACCAGAAACCCCCTGCTCAGTGAATAAACTAATTGCATTCCAAGAAACAGCCCATCACCTGCTGTCTTTTGAGTTTTGAGAAAACTGGCTCACAGCAGTTCTTTTTTGTGTTGTTGGCAAGAATCCTGGCCGTTTCTTCCTTTGATTTATTTTATTTATTTATTTATTCTTCTGTATTTTAGAATTTTCCAACCATGTAAGATTTCCCTATGCCTAAAGAGAGAAATTAATCTGGACAACTGTTCATCCCAAGACATCTCAAGGAAATTGCCCTCCAATCCTCCTCCACATTCAGTTCATACATTCTGAGGCCAACTTCATAAACACTTACCATTTTTCCTAATAATAATCATTATGTGTGACTATGTGTATTCATATGTGTGTATGTGTACATTTATTCAAACAATATAATTAGTTAAAATCATAAGATATGTGCATATTATGTGTGTATGTGTATATTAATATGTACACACATATATATGTACACACTTCCCTTATGATTTTATTGAATGATAATTATGTCATTTGAATAAGTAAATGTCCCCTTCTTCACTAAATTTGAGAGTTCCTTGAAGACAAGACAAGCTAATTCATCATGTTATTCCCATATGTAGCTCAATACCTGGCAATTAATAAATAATCAAAGATGCTTCTAAAATGAGTGCTCAATAGGTCTCTGGTCTACTAATGGCAAGGAGATTTTGAGGAGTGTTTTATAAGGAAGGCCAGCAGGGTAAAAAGCTCACTTCCTTTCATATGTTTTTCTTGAATAAAGATGCTGCACTACTAAGCAACAGTTTATTTGCAGCCATATTCTAAACTATTCTTTGTCAAGGTATCAATTCATAGTAAGAGTGGATGAACAGTTTATCATCTGAGGACCACATATGCAGAAATTTTGTATGCGGACTTGGTAGACAAAGAATAGATAGCACCAGTCAAAGGAGGAAAATAAAGAGAAATAAAGCCAAGATTTGCTAAATTCTTGTGTTGGGGGCAGATTAGTTTAACGATTTGAAAGAGAGAGCTTGGCATAATGGTACACACATGTAATCCCAGCTGTTGGAAGCGAAGGCAGGAGGATCTTGAGTTCAAGGCCAGATTCACATAGTGAATCTAAGGCTAGCTTGAGTTGCATAATAAAACCCTGTCTCTAATAAATAAATAAATAAATAAATAAATAAATAAATAAATGTAATAATTTCTTGTATTTAATGAGCACTTGTATGTCATGCATGTAAAGCTTTGTGAAAACATCTGTTTAATTTGCATAATTCTAATTAGTAGGTATTATTATTTCCATTTTACAATGTGAGACCTGAGACTGAGATAGGTTAAGTAACTTGTTTTGGAATTCTGACAGGTATGCCATAGAAATCTCAAGAGTTAGAACTTGGACCACACTGACTGATAAAAATTCTCATTTTTTATAGTGACTAAAAAAAAAGACTTAAATTTATTTTGAGATTTAAACTATAAGCACATGGTCTTCAAAACTTTCCTTTTTCCTAATATTTCAATTGAAAAGGGATCTAAACTTCCTCCTCTTATTTAATAATAAAAAAAAGGTTTTGTATTTTTCTGAAGGAATTGTTTCATATTGGGCCCTTTTAGTAAAGAGATATAAACATTAGCTAAGTTTTTGCCTTTTAATAAACTCAATTGGCTTTCAAAGCTTGCCTTACAACTTTATGTGATTCAGGTATTGTAATGACTAATCTTTTTCCCATTTTTATTAGAATATATTCATTGTAATGGGGGGGATTCATTGTGACGATTACAAATGACCTTACATTACGCATTGATTAGATCACCTCCCCACACCACTTAAGCAACTGCAAGAAGTTTCATCGTTTTATTTCATATATGTATATATTTCATATATGTATCTTGATTGTGAGCTTGATTGGATTGAGAAGTCTCTGAGCAATTACTAAAGCACAATTTCCAGTGTGACCGTGAGGATGTTTTTCAGAGAGGATTAACTAAGGGGGAAGACTCACTCTGAATGTGGGTGGCACAATCCCATAGGTTGGGGACCTAGAAGGAATAAAAGGGAAAAAAGGAGGAAGTCCACTAGCACAGGCATGCATTCATTCATTCATTCTCTTTCTCCTGTCCTCCTCTTCCCTCATCTACCCTTTCTTCCCCTCCTCTTTCCTCTTCTCTCCTGCCACCATAAGGGGAGCTACTCTGTTCTACTTTACCCCAACTCTTGTGCCGTGATGGACTGAAAGTGTAGGCCAACATGAATGTTTCCTCCCATAAGTCATTCCTGTCAGGTATTTTGTCACAACAATGAAAAACTAACACAGGTATGTCACAAATTTATGACATAAAGTTAGGATTCTGACATGAATACCTGTGGACTATCTTTTAATATTGCAGATGGAGTTAGCTGTGGGTCCATTTTGCAGGCGAGTGTCTGACTTAGGAAAGTCCTATCGAATGCTGAGGTCATTCAGGTGAGACCTAATTCTCTTTTAATATATTCATATTCTACTAACAAGTCCTTTGCTCCTATTTGGGTTGAATTATTTAAAATAGTCAAGATTCAATCATTTTTGACCTACAGTATTGGCCTTCTTTTTTTTTTTTTTTTTTGGGGGGGGGCAGTGCTGGGGCTTGAATTCAGGGATTACACCTTGAGCCAACCCACCAGCCCTTTTATTTTATGATGCACTTTTTTCAAGATAGGGTCTCACGGACTGTTTGCCCTGCTGGCTTCGGACCGCAATCCTCCTGATCTCTGCCTCCTGAGTAGCTAGGATTACAGGCGTGAGCAACCAGTGCCTGGCTAATATTGGCAATTTGATATGAATCATCTTAAAAGTTATTGTTCAAATCGAAACCCTGATAGAATTATGTGCAATGACTAATAAGATAGTGGGTATTTGTGTGTTTTTTTTTTCTTTTTGAATTGCAATTCAGAGGATTGAGCTGATAAATTTTATTATGATCTCCCTAGGAGGATTATTTTTTACTTCCCCTTCTCAAAAAAGTAATTGAGTAGTAATGCCAACCAGTTTGTTATAATATAGGTATCTTTTTCTGACACTTTCATTTGTTCATTTATCATTTTTAATCCATTCTATTTTTGAAAAGATCATAGGTTATATCCCATGATACAGATACAACAAAACTGTTGAGCAAAGTATTAAGAGAACTGAACTCAGTGATAAACTGCAGGGAATGACTGTAAATGTATTAAATAACTTAGGCTAATGCAGTTGAGCACCAAATTTAGGATTTGAAGTTTTCTAAAAACTAGTTGAAAGTGAAAAGCAATGAGTTGATTCAAAGTCGTGCCTTTAGACTGTACCAGTTAAACAGAGAAAAAAGAGTCCTTTTCAGTGCTGAGCACTTTGTTTTGAACTTTGAATAACTTCATGTCAGGGGTTGGGGGGGGGTCTTCAATAGCATATTTTAGAAGATAAAATGTTGTTAATATGACTACTTATTCAGTAAACCAGAACTTCCCAGCATTTTCCATGTCATGGCATACATGGAAAATATTTACATTCAAAAAGGTGACCAATCCTGACGAGTGAGGGGATCAATATAATATGTAGTTATAACAGTTGTGTGGGCACAACATGGCACATGGAGAGCTATTATATGAACTAACCATAATATCCAAGAGCATAATGATCTCTGAATATTTATATAGAGAGGTAAGTTAAGAGAGTGTAGGTATGCAGCTTTCTAAAAATTGACTCAGTACTAGAAGCCAGAGTAATCAATAAGTAGTATTCTTGAAATGACTGCTTGGCTCCCTTATGCCTTTAAGCCATTACAGTGGGAGATTCGGGTTTCATGTAAGAAGCCAGTATTGTTGATTGAGAAGGGACCCATGTTACCTTGCCCATTTGTAATTGACATAGCTCTTTTTGCTTTTCAATATCAACAAAAGAGCCTGAGTTTTGTTTTTTTCCCAAATGAAGAATCAGTGCCCATCTGTATAGAGAGGTAGATTGCAAGGAAAATTAAAGTGAAATCACAAGTACCTTCTTTAGGTCAGCACAGATTTTTCAAAAAGTATGTGAATATTTTGTTGAAGCCAGTGCAGAATTCTCTGTACTACAACATAGATGAGTTGAAAGATTATGAGGTCCTGAGGTTAACAATCTGTTGATCAACAGTACTGTAAAAGTAACCTTAATAAAAGTCTTGAACAGTCATTTACTTTGAGTAAGATGATGGTAATTCAACAATCACACCTGGGTAATAAATTGTTGCCCTGACTGAGTTAGTTAAGGTACTAGAAGTTATTAGCCAACCAGTTTTTGAAAAGAGTATGAAAAAAAACTGTTGGTTTGGTATTTACTATTAAGATCAGGCAATTATTTTTGATAGTCCCAAGTACTGTGTTTGGTTGTTTATTGTGTATATATGTTTTCAAATAGTTTTAATCTTGCTGTTTGTTGAGATAGAGTGGTGTTTTTAAAGTTGTGTTACAGTAAAGAGATACAGATCCTGAAGGTGAGTTTCATATAAGACTACTTAGCCATTTAAGATGAGAATTTTCTGTCAACTTTCCCAATTCTTACATGAGAAGGAAAATCCAAAAGGAACTTTTTTAAGTGTATATTAATTATACAAAGGGTTTTTGTTGTGATATATCCATACATGCATATACTAAAGGAACATTTAAGGTTTGGATGACCTCTACTTAATGGAATAAAAAATTAATCATTGATCAATGCATAATTTTTTTAAATCCTACATATTTTGTATCTAGCTTTTCATAAAGTAATATCAATCAAGATGGGCTTCAAGTTTTTGACAATGACTCATGATAAGAGTTTTGTTTTTTTTTTTTTTTTGAGACAAGGTCTCTCTAAGTAGTCCATGCTGTCCTCAAACGTGAGATACTCATTTCTCTACTCTGTTCCTCTACTGCTGGAATTCCAGGTGTGTGCTGCCATGCCTGGCTAAGAGACTTTTTTCAATTGCAATTTGGAAGTGGAGGCATGAGGATGGGGAGGTGGAAGCAGGAGGATCTTGAGTTCAAGGCCAGCTTGAACACATAGTGAAATCCTGTCTCAAAAAAATAAGGACTGGGTATGTAGCTCAGTAGTAAAGTACTTGCCTAGCATGCACAAGATCCTGGGTTCGATCCCCACTGCTGCAAACATAACGCTATTTGGCACATACTTGCATACAAACTTGCAACACACTCAAATCTATTCTACATATACTTGCACAGCCATGTATATATGCTTCATGAAACAGTACTTACCCTTAATTCATACAGTATTCTCTGACATTTCTATTTCATTTCTTTTAACCCACCAAATTGGTTTCATGACCCACTAATGGCTTGCATTCCACAACTTCTGCCTTTTCACATGACCTTTTACATTTGAACTGTAGTTGCTCTGCTGACAGGGCTCAGAGCCCTTTTCATTTCCACACTAAGAAGATGTATGTCCTTTTCTTCTGGGCTTCCCTTGCAAATGGCTCGTTGACGTCCATACCTCAGGCCTTGATCATATCCTACCTATGGAGTATCTTCCATAACTCAAAATAATTGAAAAATTCCAACAGAGATTTATATATACCAATATGCCTAAAAAGACATTGAACCTATAGAAATCTATTTTGATCTTAGCACTTTCTTAGTTATTTGGCAGGACCAGATTTTATCAACTGGATCAAGAAATAAAATGAAAGCATATTTTATTAGGGTGTTCAAATCTAGTCCTGGTCTACAAAGAATGGATTTGCTCCATTGCTTGAGAAGAGGAGAGCTATAAACATGTTCCTCTGACTGCCCAGCACTGGCATTGGGGAAACTGGGATTCTACAAGTCTCAGAGTTGTCACATGAAGGGAATGGGCTTCAGAAAGAGAATGAACCTTCAGAGGGTCCTACCAAATCACTTCCTAGTAAGGAATAAATCAGTAATCATCCTTCATTCGATTACCTAATTATAGACCCTTATTTTGCCCACCTGTGAAAACATAGTAGTCTCTTCCAAAATTAATCCCAAGCAGTTGCAAAGAGAAAAACCCTCTTTTACTAATATGTGTACTTCATCTATGCTATGGGCTGTGACAGGGATAGGCATCATCCCTTGTACATATTATACCTTGGCTCTCATTCATGGATCCCTCATGAAGTAGTCTAACTCACACTAAAACCAGCTGAAGAATAGACAATAGGGGATTGGCTAATAAAATATACTGCATTCATAGGGTCACATCTATGCAGCCATTAACAATTATGTTGCTAGTTGATATGCAGTAATAAGAAAATTACCCCCTATGGCATCACTAAATGAAGAAACAGGCTATTAAGCAGGATATATGATGTGATCCTTACTGTATTTTAAATAATTATGTTTATATGAAGAAGAAGCAAAAAAAAGGATAAACATCAAGATACTGTCTTTGGAAAGGATTGTCGTTACTGACCTTCCTTTTAGACTTTCCTATGTTTTTTAAATTCCTGCCTCAATTTTATTTTTGTAGTCAATACATTTTAATTCCTCTTGCATTGCTTTTATCAATAGAAATAACAAAGAAGCTGAAGAATAATGTAAAATACATAAAAACATTACCCAATAAGGGAATGGGCATGGGCAAGCCTCATAGCAAAACCTAGCATTTTGCAGTAACCACAGGGACTTCAGTTGAGTTAGAGGCAGTAGTTGTAGGGTAGCAGGCTCCTAACAAGGGACCAGGATAGTGCCAGCCAGAGGGCCTCAAGTCAGGCCTTCTGCATTCCTGCCCCCATCCCAGGCACATGCTTTAGCAGGCACTCTCTTCCTGCTTCATGCAGCCATCTGCTGGGCAGGGCCCTCTCTTTCTGATGGTAATATTAGTGGACTATTTAATTAAGCCAGCAAGCTTCTTGCATACATTTACATTTTACTGTCTACATTAGAGTTCCTCAGGCAACAAGAATCTTTTCATATCCAGGACGTAATGCTGCCTCAGAAAGCAGCTGACATTAATGATCTGCCCCTGGGTGATTTTTCTTCTGCACAGATACATGTGCCAGAGCTGCTGAGACCCCATCCTGTCAGTCCCTTTGCAGATGGCATTAGCCCCTAAGCATGATTCAGAGGCTATTACCTTCCCTCCTCCTGGCCCAGAGGCTTGAAAGTTCTGATCTTTGACATTGTCAGTGAAGATCTGTGTGGGTCTAAGGTCACAGATGGGACCAACTGACTTTCACCAGCTCAGAAAAACAGACCTTGCCTTGCCCCACCACTTTCATTCCTGAGGGGACAGTTTGTCCCTGATGATGCCCACAGATGCCCTGCTGGAACCTTCTTTGTTTGTTTTAATGAAAGAGCAGTGCAAGAAGTCAAGGAATGGCGATATGTTGTCATGAGTCTTGTAGCATTAAAAGAGGAAGGAAACCATTAGTTACTAAAATGGAGTTTTCTTGTCAGTTGTTTTTCATTGTGGGAGTGACAAAGGTTTTCCAGGTCCACACTCTGTACTGATGACAG